CCCAATTCACTGCAATTTAAGAGTTAAAGGAACAATAGAGGGTTATTGTATCGGAATGGATGCTCCAGCTAGACTTTTATTCCCTTTTGTTCGGCTGTCCGTACGGCCCCCGTTCGTTTACCGAATCAACTCTGTGTGGTCCCCTTGTTCACACCTTTTAATTACCGACCGCCCCTGGCTGTTAACCACAAATTGGTTATTAGTTCAAGTGTTCCTGTCTGGCAGCCATTCATATAACCGAACGCACGTGTTCAATAATTTGCAGCCATTTTGTCTCCCGAAAGAGGGTAGCGGTACATGGTCGTCGACAGCGTGGAACTAATTTTGGATACACAACCCCACGAACACCTGGTAAACTGGTTCTGCTGCCCATCCAACTTCCCGAACAGTTAGGAGAACAGCGTTCGGGAGGAATAAACTACCAAACAGGGGGAGCATTTGCATCCTAATAGCCAGGGGATACATTCATCAGTGTTCATGCAGGGATCCCAGAAAGATGACCAGTCGTTGCCTTGATTTCTCTGGAACGGTTTTGGAGCATCACCGTGTGGCTAACCAGTCAAAACGTCATTCGAATGGCGTTCCCGAACCACCAAAGGGATCTGAGTGATATTATGTCAAAGTGTGCGCTCAGATCCAAGCTATGCGGTGATTTGACTTCTGTGGGGTTCTGAAGTATTAAAATGTATTTTAAAATATTGTAAATGTTTCTGTACCTGAGAGATAATTGAGTTATAGTTTTTTCTCACGCAATTATCTCTCAGGCACAGAGGATCTTGGGAGGTAAAGCCCTGTATTTTTGTATAAGAGACCCCAGGTAGGGTAAAAAGCCGTGTGGGGCTAAAATAAAATCAGTTGACTCCCAGAACTATGTGTCATATAGTTGCTGGGGGCAAAGTGTCGTGGATTATTATACTGCGGAGATACCTATGCTGGGTATTGGAGCTCTGCTACAGTCAGGAATACATGACCGATGTATAGTCGCCATATGGGCATTCGGAACATTGGACAAACCCCAAACGTACCTTCCCCAATAAAAAACATGGACACTAGGGTATATGGGTCAAATTGTTCACAGCTTTTATTAAATAGTAATAAATTAACATAGAAAAATTAGGTCATTGCCCTATACCCTGCCTTCACATCCGTATTCTTCTGTTAGATATAAAAGGCAATGGCCCCACTATAAATAACATATATATATATATATACACAGTTGCAAGAAAAAGTATGTGAACCCTTTGGAATGATATGGATTTCTGCACAAATTGGTCATAAAATGTGATCTGATCATCATCTAAGTCACAACAATAGACAATCACAGTCTGCTTAAACTAATAACACACAAAGAATGAAATGTTGGCATGTTTTTATTGAACACACCATGTAAATATTCACAGTGCAGGTGGAAAAAGTATGTGAACCCTTGGATTTAATAACTGGTTGAACCTCCTTTGGCAGCAATAATTTGACCAAACGTTTCCTGTAGTTGCAGATCAGACGTGCACAATGGTCAGGAGTAATTCTTGACCATTCCTCTTTACAGAACTGTTTCAGTTCAGCAATATTCTTGGGATGTCTGGTGTGAATCGCTTTCTTGAGGTCATGGCACAGCATCTCAATCGGGTTGAGGTCAGGACTCTGACTGGGCCACTTCAGAAGGCATATTTTCTTCTGTTTAAGCCATTCAACAGGGTCATTGTCCTGTTGCAACATCCATCTTCTGTTGAGCTTCAGCTGGTAGACAGATGGCCTTAAGTTCTCCTGCAAAATGTCTTGAATCCATTCTTGTTTAGTGTTTTACATATTGTAGATTCGCTAACAGGGATGTTAGCATTTGCCACTGACTTTTTAAGTCTTTAGCTGACACTCTAGGATTCTTCTTCACCTCAGTGAGCAGTCTGCGCTGTGCTCTTGCAGTCATCTTTACAGGATGGCCAATCCTAGGGAGAGTAGCAGCAGTGCTGAACTTTCTCCATTTATAGACAGTTTGTCTTACCGTGGACTGATGAACAGCAAGGCTTTCGGAGATACTTTTATAACCCTTTCCAGCTTTATGCAAGTTAACAATCCTTAATCGTAGGTCTTCTGAGAGCTCTTTTGTGCGAGGCATCATTCACATCAGGCAATGCTTCTTGTGAAAAGCAAACCCAGAACTGGTATGTGTTTTTTATAGGGCAGGGCAGCTGTAACCAACACCTCTAATCTCATCTCATTGATTGGACTCCAGTTGGCTGACATCTCACTCCAATTAGCTCTTGGAGATATCATTAGTCTAGGGGTTCACATACTTTTTCCACCTGCACTGTGAATGTTTACATGGTGTGTTCAATAAAAACATGGCGACATGGTGACTTTTCATTCTTTGTGTGTTATTAGTTTAAGCAGACTGTGATTGTCTATTGTTGTGACTTAGATGATGATCAGATAACATTTTATGACCAATTTGTGCAGAAATCCATATCATTCCAAAGGGTTCACATGCTTTTTCTTGCAACTGTATATTTATTTATATATATATATATATATATATATATATATATATATATATATATATATATATATATATATATATATATATAAAAATATAAAATACACAAGATCCAGCGCACTTACCAATCCACTAAACAGCAACTTCAATGTTGAAAGATTTTATTTATTTTTTAAAAAACACCTAGTCTAGGCAAAAATAATGGGTGTTTAGTTACATTATATGTTCATACATTGCATAAGCCTGCAACAACGTCAATGTACCCCATCTTTGGCAGGTCCTACACTAACAGCTTAATGTCTGCTCTTATGAGATTAACCTACTTACTTGGGGAAAAAAATTCCATCTGGGGCTCTCTGCAGTACAAGGCTAAATAGGGCCCTGGGATGAGGCACCTGTGACAGGGAGGGATGCAAAACCAAGGAGTTGGCTAGACTCCCATATATATATATATATATATATATATATATATATATATATATATATATATATATATATATATATATATATATATATATATATATATATATAACAAATAAAATCTTTCAACATTGAAGTTGCTGTTTAGTGGATTGGTGAGTGCGCTGGATCTTGTGTATTGTATTATTTGGCCCCCAGCAGCACCCCCATTTATGTAAATTTCCAAGACACCGTAAAACCTGTACATCGGGGGTACTATTTTACTCTGGAGACTTCGCTGAACACAAATATTAGTGTTTCAAAATGATAAATTGTATTACAATGATGATATTTTCAGTAAAAGGGAAGTTTTTTGCAATTTTCACACACAAGCGGCACTTTTACTGACGATATTATTGCTGTAATATGTTTTACTGTTTTGAAACACTTATTTTTGTGTTCAGTGAAGTCTCCCAAGTATAACAGTACCCCCTATGTACAGGTTTTATGGTGTTTTGGAAAGTTAGATAATCAAATATAAGGCTTGCATTTCATTTTTTTTACATTGAAATTTGCCAGTTTGGTAATGTTGCCTTTGAGACTGTATGGTAGCCCAGGAATGAGAATTACCCCCATGATGGCATACCATTTGCAAAAGTAGACAACCCAAGTTATTGCAAATGGGGTATGTCCAGTCATTTCCAGTAGCCACTTAGTCACAAACATTGGCCAAATATTTGTTTTTTGCGTTTTTTTCATGAACGCTAACTTTGGCCAGTGTTTGTGACTAAGTGGCTACTAAAATAGACGAGATATACCCCACTTGCAATACCTTGGGTTGTCTACTTTTGCAAATGGTATGCCATCATGGGGATAATTCTCATTCCTCAAATGCACATGGTCTCAAATGCAACATTACTATCTGGCAAATTTTAATGTGAACAAAATTAAAAATTGAATGTGCCATATTTGACCCTGTAACATTCAAAAACACTGTAGAATCTGTTACTGGGGGCTACTGTTGTACTCGTGAGACTTTGCTGAATACAAATATGTGCATTTTATTGCAGTAAAAGCTAACAGTATCATGACATTTACAGCTAAATTGTCAGGCGTAATTACACATTTTTAGAAAATAATCTTAATTTCTCACAGTTTTTTTTAATTTTATTCATGATAAATTAATTTCCATATATGAATAGTTAATGATAAATTAAAGCCCTGTTTCTCTTGAACAAAATGATATATAATAAATTTGGGTGCACTTAATATGAAAGAGGTGAATTGCTATGGAACAGACAAATAGCGCAAATACCAGTTTTTATTTACATTTTGTTTTGATCAGAACGTGTACTATTGACTCCCTCCTGAAGGGGTTAATTGTGTGTGAGCCAATACTATACATTTCATTCCTGTTAGTACACTTTCTCTTTTTTTGTGTGTAGTTAGCTCTAGTCATCTTTTGACGATGTTGAAGTTAGCTTCCTATTTGCAAGCTGAAGTTAACTTCTTATTCGGACAACATCTTAGCATTTAGTTGATGGTGCCAGTTTTTGTCATTGAGCTGTCTGTAGGGGGCTGTGTGCAGTGAGCTTGTTGTGTGTCAGTGAGCTTCCTATAGTGAGATGTGTGTGCAGAGCTTGTCTTGTGTGTGTGTGAGATTGTGTCAGTGAGCATGCATTTGTGTGTCTGTGACATTATATATAATGTGACATCTATCTATCTATGTAAACGTTCTTCCAGTGAAGTATTAGGATAGGTGGACACATCTGTGATTTTAGATTACAAAACAGCCAATTGACCGAATGGGGGGGTGGATAGAGGGCTGGGGAGGAGAAACTTCGCTCAGAAGTACAAACACTAAGGGAGGTTGAGGGACAAAGGGCTCACCATCCCTGAATGTAACGCAGTCCGTGAAATTATGATAGCGCTACAGCCCCCTCACGTGAGCATGTAGAAGGATCGCAGACAACAGACAAAACACGCTCAGAGCTTCTTTTTAAAGGAAAACGGACATACACAGAGTGCTAACACCAACAAGGCAGAAACCTGAGGAGACACGCAAACCTTTACCAAAATACAGTGGGCTGGCATTGATATACAGAGAGAATTGTACTACCAGGAATGACATGCATAGTATTGGCTCACACACAATCAACACACATCGCGCTGGAAAATCTGCTACTGATTGGCACAGGTTGGCCGCTGACACAGTAACGGGAAAGCAGATGAACACACAGGACTCGTTCAACACACAAGGACACAAGTCGTGAGAATGGCTGCACCCTAATGATTCTGTGACTAGCCACGTGTTCTTCTGATCCTGAACCCCACAAACATGGAGCTATTTGAGGACCCTTATTGCCAGAGCAGACCAGCTCGCAGGACGCAGTGGCTAGTGAGTGCCCTGGCTTTTCACTATGGGCTAGACAAAGGTGTGGAGAATGAGATCATTGTGTTGGCCACGGGGCTGGACCAATACCTGCAGGAGATCTTTCACCACCTTGACTGGCAGGGCATAGGTACCATCTCTAAAAGTGAATTTCGCACCCTGTGCGAGGTACTGGGGCTAGAGCCAGGACAGGAGGAATGTGCAGGGCTTTTGGATGATCTTCCCGATGAAATCAATTTCCGAACATTCCATGGTAAACTTTGCGAATACTTCAGCACCAAGTCTGGGTGCCAAACCAGGACTGGACGTCTGCCTGTGGGCAAAGAGAATGAGCACATTGAAACCCAGATCCGCCTTCGTAGACCCCTGAGAAGGCGACCGTCCCCAGGAAGTAGAGGGTCGCAGCAAGAGGCCGCCGCCCTGCAGAGGCTAGAAGATGAGAACAGCAGCCTTAGGGAGCTTGTAGAGGACATGAGGGTTGCCCTGCAGAGCAGTGATGCCAGATCCCTGGCGCTGCAGGTGAGATGAGGTTGAGCAATGCATGATCCCTTTAACCAAAAACAAAACAAAAAAACCTGAAGATTGTCTCAGTTAAAAGGATAGACAGAAAACTGAGGTCTCTCTACCCTTTTAGTGCATCCAGAATTCGTAAAGTCAATAATTTAATATCAGTCCCATGTCCTGGATAGATAGATATAGTGTTTTATTCATTTGCATATTCACTAATTCATATATTTCCTATATTATATTTCTAAACAGATTTAGAGTATTGAACTATTCAGGTCAAGACTTGTATCTATTGTTTATATCTATTAAAACCCACCCACCATCCAGTAGCCTTGAAATCAGCAACTTTTGTTTCCATCTTGTTTTAAGTATTAACACAAAAAACAGAAAAAACTTCTTTAGAATTCCAACATCACAGCATGGCAACAGTTGCATATTATTTGATACAGAATCCCACTCTAAGCGTTTTATACTGTTCAAGAATTATTGCAGAACAGCCTAACTTTCTTGTGTTATACCTTCAAGATTCTAAGCGATTTGGTAGTCTTGTAGTGATTCTTGATGATGTAATACATTAAATAGTACACAACTCATAGAATTGGACACTGCCCTAGATGACTGGTTTACATTGCAATTCCAAGTAAAGGTCTTGTTTTTAATGTTCATTTTAACAAGATGTCAATACAAGTTGTTATTTTAAAGGACACTGCAGGGTAAACCTTCTCTTCAGTTTGTTGTATTTAGAGGTCTAATGTCAGCCGATCAAGTAGCCCATTTTTCTTGGCAGCAGTGAATCTAAATATATAACAAGACTACTAGCCATCGGTGTAAGAAGGGACACTGACCATTTTTATTTCTTAGAAAACAGACATTTTAAGGGAGAAATGAATTAAAGTCAAGTCTGCTCTGTTAAATAAGCAGAAGTGTTCTTAATATTTACCAGTAGCACTCAACCACACGACTTGTGCAACAAGAGCCAAAGTGAAGTTTTACGATTCTGGGACTTCAGACTCCAGCTTCTGAGGGGCCCTTTGAGTTCCACATCTATGACCAGCATGTTGCAAAGCAATGTGTGTTACATATGTCTGAGACTAGAGGCTAAAAACCCTTTAAAAACATATTGCTAGTTATGTGTGGAGAAAACGTTTTAGTTACATTTTCCGTGCTCTGACACAAAAACTGATGCTGACTGAATTATTTAAATTGTCGGCACATAACAATTCAATTTAACCCCTTTAATGCACCTATAGGTAGGGTGAGCAGACCCACCATGTTTTCAGGGACATATCATTTTGTCACTTGTATAATGCATATTCTGCAGGATTCTTTATTGCCTAATTACTTACTCTTATACACCTTCTTTTCAATTGTACATACTACAGGGCACCCCTTTTCATGTGCTGCCCATCAATCTGTATATGTGATATGTGTCCCCGAAAACATGGTGGATCTGGTAACCCTATCTATACTTACTATATTATTTTTTTTTGTTTTTTAATGAACATATATATATATATTATTTTTTTTAACAGCTACGTATACGTAACACAACATTAATTATGAAAAAAAGATTAAAACATTTTCAAAAAAAGGATTTTGCTCATAATTTCTGTGCAACCAAAGCAACTACAGAACAATAATATGTTGTATTCCTAACTCTTTAGTGTTAAAATCACTATCTAGCCTCCCTGACCTCTGCCCCTCTAAATGTAGTCAAATCTTACCTTATTTCCAGAGTTACGCAGCTCTGCCTGCGCTAGTTCTGCCCCGATCTGCCTCCCTGGCTGACATCATCAGAACTGATGATTTCAGCCAATCGCAATGCTTTCCCACAGCCCTGTTCAATCAGCATCTCCTCATATAGATGCATTGAATCAATGCATCTCTTTGGGAAAAGTTCAGCGTCTCCATGCAAAGCGTGGAGATGCTGAATGTTAGTGGTGCACATTGTGCAGCGGTGACCCAGGAAGCACATCTAGTGGCCGACTGAAATATGTTCCTAGGCTGAAATGTAAACACAGTCTTTTCTCTGAAAAGGCAGTGATAACAGCAAAAAGCCTGCAGGGATATGGTATAGACACCAGAACAACTACATTAAGCTGTAGTTGTTCTGGTGACTATAGTGTCCCTTTAAAATGGGTTCAATTATCCTGATTGTCAAAATGCCTCATATGTCTAGGATTTCAGGCCATTTTTGAAAGCCAAAAGACAGATATGTCAAGGAGCAGTGGAGCGGCTGGAAAAGTTTTGGTGGCAGGGATCTAGGCGCCACCTTTTGAAGTTAACCATGCCCTTCTCTGTAAACCCCACCGTCACCTTATCGTTGTTGTGCCACTTAACCACAAGTATATATATATATATATATACACCCACATTCAATCTATATTATAGACTACACAGTGTAAACTATATCCAGTAATATATACTATAACGCTATAGTGGTATTAATACAAATGTGTTTCTGGAGTAACAATTTAAACTTACATTTTCTCCCTCGATGTGCCGGTCGGGCATGGCTGGCCCCACCTCCATGCCTGAGATCATCAGTCTTCATGCCAATCCAAGGCTTTCTTATAGCAAAGCATTGGGAGACTATTGTGCTTGCGCAGCAAAACCACATGCTGCGCCAATCACCATATCCTCCATGTATTGAATCAATGCATCTCTACGGGAAGCGTCCATACATATGACAATTTATTGTCCTAACACACACATAATTTCAGATTGGAACACCTACAAAGAGCCCTGGACATTGACAGCGTTATTCTCTAAAGGTTGCATGTTTGTGGATTACATTTAAATGGGAAAAGTAAAAAAAACAAAAAAACAAATCTATAAAAACTCCAGCCAAACACAAATGTTTGCCGCAGTTTTTCCATTCAGATATAATTTTTGAAAATTCAGAGTCTATACTAATAAAATAAATTAAAATAAACAATACGACTTGAGTGACTAACCATTAGTGTCTCACCCACTTACAGTGTGTAATGTATGTGTGTGAATGTGTGAAGGCTTATTGTGTTGTAGGACAACTGTATGTAATATGCCTGCGGTGTGTTGTCTGCATCTTGTAAGTGCAGATCACAATAATTGCCCCTCGAATTCCCAGTACTCACTAAGTAGGGAAGATTAGTGTGGTCAGCTCCGGCATTGAATGATAGCATTTTCCCTTCACTAAATCCCACATTTAATGGAAGGGTGTGGCTTGTCTTTCCCATTTTCCTTTACTCCCTCCTATTTTTCTTTTTTCTTTCCCTCTCTTTAGGCAATGTAAAAATTTCTTGTCTCCTCTTTCTCTATTGGCTTATCCCTGAAATGCTTTGTTTCCTGCATAATGTGTACTCGTCTGAGTATTTTCAAATTTACTTTAGTTGTTTGCATTAAATACCATTTTCATGCCTCGATGATTCTTACCAATTGTATGTTTTAAAATATTTTTTTATAATAATAATTTGCATTGTTTATAGCACTTTTCTCCCTGTGAGATTCAAATCACTTAAAATATATATAAAAAAGACATAAAGTTAAGAATTTCTAAAATATTCAGAAGAGCTGACTAAATGTCCGATAAAAGAGATGGGTTTTTAGCTATTTATAAAAAGTCTGTAAAGATGGTGCCTCTCTGATTGAGCAAGGTAATGAGTTCCAGAATGTGGGGGCAGTGTGACTGAATGCTTGGGGGCCTGAGTTTGTCTTTATCCTAGGCACCGATAGGAGGGATTTGTTGGCTGACCGAAGTGAGTGAGATGGAATATACGGTGTCAGAAGTTCTTTCAAGTATTGTGTGCCTTGTTTGTTTAAGGCTTTGCAGGTCAGCAAGTCAATTTTAAAATATGTTCTCCATTTAATTGGAAGCCAGTGCAGGGAGTGGAGAACAAGTGTTATGTGACGTGATCGAGTTTGATTGGTCAGTTGTCTTGGTTGCAGCATTTTGTACTGTCTGTAGGTGATGTAAATATTTTTCTTGGAGGTCCAAGTAGAGTATTTTGCAGTAATCTAAATGAGAGGACACAAATGCATGGATTAATGTTGGCATATCATCCTGTATGATTAAGTGTTGTATCCAGGCTATGTTTCTTAGATGAAAGAAGGCAGATTTTATTACAGAGGAAATCTGCTTTTTAAATGATAGTCCAGAGCTAATCAGCACTCCGAGATTTCTTACCTCTGTTGAACTACTGAGTTCAGAGCCAGGCCAGTTGGGCAATCATGAGGTATTTTTGTTGCCCAGGGTCCTCTCATCAAGAGTAAGTATGTTTTGTCCGGGTTCACTTTTAGCCAACTTGCATTCATCCACTTTCTGCTAAGCAACTGTTCATGAGGCATGTCGGGTCTTTAGTATCTGGAGATGGAGAAGTAGAGTTGTGTGTCATCAGCTTAGCAATGATATTTTAAGCCATGTCTGCAGATCATGTTCCCTAGTAGTAGCGAGTAAATTGCGAACAGCATGGAAGACCAGATGTATCCTTGTGGAACTTCGCTGGCCAATTCTTTTAGTGCTGATGAGTTTGATCCCAATGTTACTCTCTGTGATCTAAGAGTGAGGAAATATTTAAACTGGTTAAAAACTGTGCCTCCTACACCACAGATGTGAGGCAAACACTACAAAATAATAATAATAAAATCAAATGGTCAATTGTGTCAAATGCGTTGAGAGATCCAGGAGGATTAGGATGGAGTAATCATTTTCGTGTCTCACAATCAGGAGATCATTTATCACTTGGACTAGCACTGTTTCTGTGCAGTGGCGGCATTTAAATCCTGGTTGGAAAGGATCAAAAATTTTATAGTTTGATAGATGGACTTCCAGTTGAGCTGCCACTACTTTTTCAATGATTTTCCCCAAGGTTGGATACCGGTAAGTAATTTGTCATGCAGTCTGGGTCTAGTAATGCTTTCTGTAGGAGGGGTATTACCACTTCTTCTTTTAGAGGATCTATGACGTTTCCATATTTTAGTGAACACTGCAATATATTTGTGAGGGTTGGGGTGAGTGTTTCAATGCATACAGATATAAGATGAGCTGGAGTAGGGTCTAAGTCACAAGTAGTAGAGTGCACCTTTTGCAAGGTTCCTCTCTATCCACATTTGTAAATGTAAACCATAAACTGGGACAATCTGGCATTTCACTGCAGTGGTTCTGGTGTGTAACTGGTTGGCTTGCTGTAATAGAGGCTCAAATGGAGGAAATCTTGTCTGTGCAGAAGATTGCACATTCTTCACACTCATCCTGAAAAAAGTGGGTGAGGATATGCATGCATGCATGCTGGTTTGCAGAGCCTTCCTATTGTCCGAATCAGTTGCCTGGGTCTATTGTGGGAGAGTGTAATTTTGCGTGACAATTTTGCCTCTCCCGTCCCCCCCACGTGCACCCTTGTCGATTTTTATGGCTGGTAGGGAAATCAGAGATCTCCCTCACTGGCCAGGCTGTGCCAGTGCTAAGCGGGAAGATGCAGAAGTTGTTACTGTTACAGAGCATTGCTGTACATTACCGCATTACAGTTGCAACACTCTGATACACCTCCCTGTGACGACCTGTAAAAGGGTTGGATCAGAAGGAGCTGTCTGCTCCCAATATGGATACAGAGAAGAATATTCTTCCTCTTAAGCGCCAAAGATAAGGATTCCCCTTCTCTAGCCCCATGCCCCCTATACCAACTACAGCTCCTATGCACCCTACACCCATTACAGCCCCTATCCCCCAGCATCCACTAAAACCCCTTTTACCCCCTGCAGCTGCTACAGCCCCTACACCCATTACAGCGCATATGCTCCAAGGACCCATTACACGCATATGTTCCCTGCACCCACTACACACTCTATTTCTTCCCTGCACCCACTACAGTCCCTATCCTAATGTACCTACTACATTCACTTTCATCTATTACAAACCCTATTACCCCCAATCCCCACTGCACCCACTACCGCCTTTATAACCCTGGCTCAAATCCCCATTGAACCCACTACAACCCCTATTACCCCATCACACACTACTTCGCCTATGCACCCACTAGAGCCCCCAATACTCCATGCACTGACTACAGCCTCTGTTACCCCCTGCTCCCACTACAGTCTCTAATCCTCCCCTGCACTCACTACAGCCGCTATACCCAGCTATACCCACAGCATACACTAAAGCCCCTATTACCCCCTGCACACATTACAGCCTCTATCCCCCAGCATACACTACAGACCCTATGCCATCTGCACCCACTACAACTACAATGTCCTCTGCAGCCTCTATTACCACCTGCATGCACTACAACCCCATGGCCCTTGCACCCATTATAGCCCTTATCCACTGCATCCACTTAACCCCCTTTTGCCTTCTGCCCCTACTACGCTGTATCCACTATAGTCCCTATTATCCCTGCACTGACTACCGCCTGCACCCTACAGCCTCTGCTGCCACCTGCATTTACAACAGCCCCTTTCCCCCTGCACTAACTACAGCTCCTTCCTCACTGCATCCACTAAAACACCTATCCCTCTGCACCCACTACAGCCTCTATTATCATCTGCTCCACCTCTGCCTCTATCCCCCAGTACCCACTACTTCCACTATCCCCCCTTCACCAACTACATCCCCTATTACACCCTACACCTTCTACAGCTCAATGCCACCTTTTACCACTACAGCCCCTATGCCCCCTGCAACCAACTAAAGCTCCTAGGCCCCTGCACCCCGCTAAAGTGCTTAATGCTCCCATCATCCACTTCAGCCATTATCCCTCCCCTACTACAGCTGATATCATCCTTACTACCACTACTAATATGATTTAGTGGTAGACATTATTAGTGACCCCCAGTTTTGACTTTGGTATCTTATGTTCCCCCCATTCCGCCGTGTATTGTATCTACAGTCGCCAGTCGGCTGGCGGGGTTAGTAGAAATTATGTTACCCACAGGTAATAATAAAGTTGCTAGGATTGTAGGGTTTCTAAAAAATAAATAACAATGTATAACACACACACACACACACAATTCCCACAAACCCAACTCCACTGACAATGCACATATATACACACACAAACTCACAAGAAGCCTCTCACGTGAAATACCACAAGCAGCACCACACACACACGCACACACCACTAAACAGACAATGTGACATACCCCCACACACATAATTCCACAAGCAGCTCCCATACTCAGCCCATATTCATAGATATCATACACACTACCACAAACTACTCATGAACATATACAATATAAAAACTTAACCCTACAAAGCAACTGCAGCAGCCCTAAATAACACCAGCAGAATACAGTAACATACACAACTCCATTAGAAAAAAAAGGACCGGCACGCCAAGGGACTTCAAAAATATGTTGTTTTTGCACAGTACTAGTAAAAGGTTGCATTCCCTGCACAAGGGATTCAATGCAAGATTGACACATTTTGATTGGCTAATCTCTTCTTTTGTAGGTTGGACTTCGTAAATGCCATGCTTCTCACACGAAGGATGGAGGATGTATAATGTTTAATACACACGTGGTATCTCAAAGATATATGATAATGACTCAGAGTGTCCTAAGGGAGGTGGATCTAATCCAGAGTTCCAGAGATGACCAGCTTGAGGAAATGATGAGAATGAATAATGATTTGGAAGATGAACTGAGCAGATCTCAGAAAGCATTGCTCTATCTGGAGAACTGCAATGAGCAGCTGAGAAGGGAGCAGACAGAAATGAGGAGGAAGGCTGAAGAGGCCAGACAAGCAGTACTCAAATGTTTTGGAAAGGTTAAAGACCTGGAGGAAAAATCAAACAAAGCAGTTCTTCTTCAATTGCATATTAAGGAGCTAGATATGGAGCTGCAGCATTACAGGTAATGGGAAACAATATTTGTCAGTCTAGTTCTCTACTTTAAATTGTATAGCTTAGAAACAGGACAGATACACAGCTATAATATATGACAATTTAATGTATTGATTAAGACCAGGTTTAAAGGGTCAGTCTAAGTGTCAAGCATGTATTACTAAAGTGCAATTTAATAAACTGAGGTGACCTATTAGTACTCCCAACCCCGACCCATACGACACTAGGTATCATTTGTTTAATAGCCCCGGTCTATCGCTCATGGGTGGGGAAAGTGGAGGACAGTAAATCATTATTAAGTTTTAAGCAACCATCCAAAGGTCTGTCGCTTGTTTTTCATTTCTCTGTGTATCCACTGACTGTTCACAGTATCGTGATGACTGGAGGCATAAGAGAGTTAAGCTCTTAATATGAAAGCTTAACTTTATTAATTATATATTGGGTGAACTGCCTGACAATCAGGGGACACAGTGACCTGTCAGATCCTCGGTCCATGAAGCAGACAACAGGAGGGGTCCTCTGTCATACTAATCCTCTATCACTCTGTCTCACTCACTCCCCTTTACCCTGCCCCACTTATCCTGTCATATTAACCCCTAAATCCTGTCCTCCACCAATGCAACACTCACCCTGTCACATCCTGTCACACTCTGCCACACTCACTACCCTTAATCCTGTCACTCACTCCTCCCCTCGCCTTGTTACACTACCTTCTCCAACCATGTCACACTCACCCTGTCACATCAGCCATCCTTAATCCTGTTACACTCACTTCTCCTTGTTCTGTCACACTCCCTCCTCTAACAATGCCACATTCACCCCATCCCTGTGATGCTAACCCCCCCAACCATGCCACATTCACCATGTCACATTAACCCTCTAGTCCTGTCATACTTACCTCCATTCGCCCTGTCACACTTTCTCTTCCAACCATGTCACACTCACCCCCAACCTTCCTCATTCTATCACACTCAGACCCTGTTTCATTCACCCCGTTGCACTGTCACACTCAACCTGCCACAGTTACCCCAGTACTCACCCTGTCAACTAAAGACATTCATCATACACACAAAGTCATGAAACATAGCTTTGCCACAAGCAGTCCCCCACTCACATTGTGATTGCATGTCTGTATTTGTCAATGTGTGTGTCTCTGTGCATCAGTCTATTTGTGTGAATGCATGTGCATGTACCAGAGAGTACATATGTGCATGCATTAGTGTCTTTGTGTTTATGGCATGGTATGGACAATGCAAAGGTAATGTGGAAATATATATAAGATACATACATATACAATACAAGGGGTGATCTAGAAAATGTATAATGGATCAATCATCCAAGAGAGATAACCAGAGGCCCTGAATTCTTAGGTGTTCAAGCGCTTGGGAGAACCGATAATAAAACCACAGCCTTACTCAATTTGTAGTCCAAAATCGTCTCTTCTCAATCTTTAATGGGAGAGTGTGATGGACCACCTGGCACCCCAACTGGGTAGCTCCACCAATCGATGCTTCCTAGCTGAGGACCATAAGCACCGCACTGGACACCATAAGCACTGTAGACCCCACGAACCGCCGCAGCTTGGTTGGGGTCTCGCCTTCCCTTCCCGTCCTGGACCTAACTCTTTGATCCAGAGGGAAGGTCTCTCCTTCAGAGAGTATAGCTGTGAAGCTCTTACAAGAGCTAGTGATATAACTGTGAAGCAAGTTCCCTACAAGCATGAGACAAGGCTACGTGTTGATGGTTAAGCAGGAACTGAATTTTAATGGTGCCACACTGGCCTTTTATGACAATCCCCAAGCAAGGTGTATGCCCACATGGACCTTGTTGGGGACAGGGACACAAACTTACAAACCAATCACAATAGAGTTACAGTCTAAGGCACTCCCACACATAATACAATAAGCCTTCCCCTTTACTTAGGAGATAATTGAGTCAAGCACTATACTAAACTCAATTATCTCCAAACACAAAAAACAAATTTTTACAAAACCCCCAAAACACCTTAAAATACATAAAATCCCCACAAATGTTACATTCCCTGATAGCCCTAATCTGGGTGAGCAACATATCCAAAAATCACCCGGATCAGTTCAGGGGTTCAGAAATGTTATGGAAGTCATGTATTTGACCGACCGCAGGCATGGTCCCATGCCCAAAACAGTTCCAGAGAATCAGGGCTTGGTCTAGTTCGGTAGTTTACAAATGAAAAAACTACCAAACAGAGTCAATAGTCTTACTCTGAAGCTTGTTCCCTTCATCCAGATGAATGATCTCACCGAGCAGTGCCCTTCTAAGCTGAATAGAAATGAACGCAGGCGATGATGGAAGTCCAGCGGTGTTCAGGAGTTTCTGTATCTGATTTCTGTTCCATGAGATTTATGCCCAAACACCGCTGCCTGTGTTCATGCAAGCAAGATGGCGCCACCTCGTGGTTGTTCATAGGGATTACGGCCACTCAGATGAACCATTAGAACACTGAGAAACGTTCATAGGTGTTAACAAGCTCCAGGGTGGTCTCTGTTCGTGCGGTTGTTCGGCAAACGAACCATATAGTCCCAATTGCACGAACAGAGCTTGCTTGAAGTATTTTAGCCAGGTCTATTGCAGGGGCCATAGTCATCGGATAGTAGGCTGGCAGACAGGCTCCTCCAAAAGCCAGTGGCAAGGTAATTTCCGCCACAGAGAGCATTGTATATATAAAATAGCAATTAGTTTACTGCGGATGTGTGCATAAAAAATAAGACCAAAGAAACAATGGCTTACTGGAAAGTTATCTAATCTATGCAAGGTTAAAGCAAACGTAACATTTCATAAGAAACAGATAAACCATCTGCAGAAACTGCTGACAAAACTATTTAACTAAGGCTAAGACTGTAACTTTCTGTGTACCTTTTATCTATGACAATTCCCCTCTTTTGGCACCACAGGTGAGAGTTCTAGGCAAGGTATATCCAGGTATACTAGTTACACCTCTGGGACTTTAATTAGATCTTCACCTCGGTTCCCTTGCCATCTCACACCAAGGAGCCATCAAGGAAGACTTGTCCAGATATCTGTGGGTTACAGCATAATAAATCCACGTCTCATTTTTCAATACATTAGGTTAAAACAGGTAAGAAGAAAGAAGACATGTCACAACAATTAATGGGTGCAGTACTATGTTTAAGACTCCTCTAGCAGAGGGAGAACACCCTGTAAAAATATCATACCAGTGATGTCCTGTATCTCCCATTATCTTGTTACCCATGCTGTGTAGCTTATTAGCAACTATGACAGTTCTTTTCTCTAGTTCATGCAAAGAGTGGTTAATAATGGCTAGATGTTCAGATGATCAGTATTGTTAACAACATCAACTAAGGATAGTAGAGAGACAAAAAGAGTATCCAAATCCATTGCTTGTGGGTGTCAGGTGGAGGTAATGGTTAACTCTGCATTTGGGATGAAGGTAATTGTATCATTGAACCACTTGAGCGTTGCCAGGTTCTGAAAGCATCCTGCAAATGGCGTAGGGACTCCCAGAAGTTTGTTGGTATCTGGCTGAGAACATGTAAGGCAAATATACAAAGGGGCGAGTTCCATATACATGTCTATCGGACCAGCGGACACTGTCCAATCACACACAGTTACAGAATGTTGAAGCATGCAAGGCTCTTTTATCTTAGAAGTCTGTCTAATGATTCTGAAATGTGTATTTGTACTTGCTTGGGGCCAAAATCTAATTTTGAGTAAGTCACCATCCTCCTTGCCAAAGAACATCTGGGCAGAAACTTTACTTTGAAAACATAAGGAGTAAGTGATTAGGACTTTGGTTATTGTATCCCCTTTGTTTTCATCTGTTGTTGGTGTAAATAATTTGATTGTCATCTATATTTTTGTATGCACTGTGACGATTTTTTGCTCATAATAAATACTCCTTTATTAAGTTCTGCCTTTGTCAGGTAAATAACCACATTACCCGAAGAGACTAATTAGTGTTTTGCAATTGCTTAGATATTGTGCTAAGTTATATTTGGTGGGTTTTTCTTATTAAGTTACCTGGGGGACCAAGGCATTTATAAATTGTCTTGGCGGTGGCAACGTTAAAATAGTAACAGTTATATTATTATGCTCAAATGTGGGTGGTGTTAAGTGGGATTTTATCATTATTTCCGGGCTAGTGCAAACAAATAGTCAACTTTAACCCTTTCACCACCACAACGTCACGCACACTCTTGAAGTAGGCTGCATTCGTGACAGTAGTATTTCTGTAGATAAGGGTGTAGTGGTACGAACATTAATAGTATGGATAGGTTTAATAGACACAAGCCACTTTTCATTACAACAAGGTCCCTACAATACTATTTCTCCCTATACACAGTCAATATGGAGGTTGTGAGAGCCAAGGATAACCCAGCGGTCATGGGCCATGTTAATACCAATGACAAAGTAAGAGGAAGATGGAAGGTCCTAAAAAAATATTTCAGGGAATTAGGTAGCAAACTTAAGAAAAGGACCTCCAAGGTAGCATTCTCTGAGATCTTATCTGGAAAGGCAGCAGAAGATTAAATAGGTTAATGCATTGCTCAAGTCTTGGAGCAGGAATGAGATTTTTTGGTTTTTAGAGAACTGTAATGATGATGCACTTGAGTACAACCACAGACATGGTAAGTGGTGTCCTTCAGGGTTCTGTTCTGGGACCCCTTCTGTTTAACATGTTTATAAATGATCTTGAAAAAAGCATTGAAAGTCATGTTTCAGTGTTTGCAGATGACACAAACTCTGTAAAGTAATACAGTACAAGCAAGATATTACTTTGCTGCTGAGCAATTTAGATCGACTGGAGGACTAGGCACTTAAATGGCAGATGAAATTTAATGCAAAAAATGCAAAGTTATGCACTTCGGAGTAAAGAATGCCCAAGCAACTTATACCCTAAATCAGGCATAGGCAAACTTCGGCACTCCAGATGTTTTGGACTACATCTCCCATAATGCTCTTACACCCATAGCAAGAGCAAGAGCATTATGGGAGATGTAGTCCAAAACATCTAGAGTGCCGAAGGTTGCAAGTTGAAAAAAGTTACTGCTAAACCTAGGTAAGAACGGTCTAAGAAT